CTCGGAGCTCAGAAGCTCCCCGTCACCTCGTCAAGTTTAGGTTTTTAAAGGTTACGCCGAGATTACAAAATCGTCTCACATTAGGTCAAAGCTTGAACGCAATTTCAAGCCGGGGGCCGACTCCCAAACACGTTCTGCTCATAAAGCTTGCATCGATCAGCAGCAGCAGCATGATACTGTGTGGGTCTCCCCTCCAAAAACAGCAGTGACCCATCGGTGCATGGACAGGGTTTGGATTTGTTCCGGTGCATCGAACAGATTGGAATACGGGGAGCTACATCAACACCTTGAGCTCTTGGTTGTGTTCCTCGAGCTGTTTCTTAGCTGTTTTCATGGTGTGGCGGGTGGTATTGTCCTCCTGGGGTTGGACAGAGCGCAGTAGTCGTGGTGGTTCAGGAGCAATGTTTAGGTGATACATGTTTTGCTGGAGGGCTGCAAGGTGGCACTGAAGAAGGTCCCTGGTTCACGTCCCAGTGGGGGCACTGGGATCTTTCTATGTGGAGTTTGCATGTTCTCCCCGTGCAGCGTGGGTTCTGGTTCTCCGGCTTCCTCCCACACAGTCCAAAAACATGCTGAGGTTAATTGGTGATTCTAAATTGTCCGTATGTGTGAATGTGAGTGTGCTTGGTTGTCTGTCACCAAGTGTAGCCCTGTGATAGACTGGTGACCTGTCCAGCTGGGATAGACTCCAGCCCCCCATGACCCTAGTGAGCATTTAGGTGTATAGATAATGTATGGATGGATGTTCTGTTGGCCACAGGAAACAACAACAGCTCGCTCCAACAAGGGCTGCAACATACCGCGCTGAAAATGAAAGTTTCACCGATGATTTGGGTCGTGCAGCTCTGTTAGCTTCTTTGCGGTTTATTATCGATTTTATTCACAGTGCTCGTCTCCCTGTGCAAACACCTGCAATGTATCCTTCACTTAGTCCCGCCCACAACGACTGTAATTGGTTTAAACAGGGTTGTTTTCCCGTTGAGCATAATGATAGCATGGTGCAGCCACACCATAATGTTTCCCACCATAATGTTGCAACGTTTCCCTGCAGAATATCACACTGTGACCATATAATCAGTGTTATTATTGTTTTAATGTTGTGGCTCATCACTGTACTTCAGCTGTGTATGGTTTTTGGATATTACTGCTCCTCTGTCTGTGGTGCTATTTATGGTATGTTGTTTTTTTTTTTGCCTTTTTGTTGATTCACCGCTGATGATTCCAGTTTCGCTTGCAGTCTGTCGGACCTCCTGCTGCTCCGTGTGACAGATGATGTGTAACCTAAGATCCCTTGGATCTTAATACTGTTGGCTGCCTTGCTCCTTGACCCACTTTTAATGATTATTCAGCCTGAGGCGAGTGGATTAGTTTCTGTCTATAGAGTCCTGAAGAAAAAGAAGGAGGAAAACGACCCATTGTATAACACGACCGGAGCTGCCTCTTCTGAGAAATGGAGAAAAATCATAAAACTGCATTTATTCACCCCGAAAGTTTTGCTGAAATCCAAGCCGCTACAGTTGGAAACAGTCTTAACAGAATAATTGGCATAAGTGATAATTTACTTGGTCAATCATCTGCATCGGCGCTTAACAAAGCACTTCAGACGCATTTTAGTAAATGTGGATTCGCTCGGGGGTTAAATTGAGATTTGTGAAAAGCGGGAGCTCCTGTCCAGCGAGGTCGGAGCTCACATACCGCGCTGCAGTCAACACACGGAGGGACTAATTCCATCAGCCAAAGGTATTTCCTATAAAAGCTGCACACACGGCCTTCTGTGGGAGTGAATTCCACAGTCCAGAATTACAGAAGCAGCTCCTGTTTTTGGGAAGACACGTTAATTTCCCTCGAATGCGAGTCATTAATGTTGTTCCAACTAAACTTCATTTACCGCCATTGTTTTGGTGGCATTTGAGAGTCAGATGTTTCGAATTAAATCTAACCGTTTTAATAGTCTCGCACCACCTGGCATGTTTGTTGTGTTTAATTCGTGCGTTTACTTTTCATTTTTGGCAATTTGGGTAAAGAGATCTTTTTAAATTAATACAAATGATAAAAAGTTCACCTCTGTGTAGCGCGGCCAAGTCTCAGAAGGACAACTCTACAAGTAAGCAGGCCTGTAAACAATAATAGATTGCAGCGGCAGACTATTTTTTCCCTCCTGTTTATTATTATTAATATTATTATTGTCTGGTACGGTTCAGGAAATATTTACATTTATGCTGTACATAAAAATAGACATACCTTTGCATCGATTCAACTAAAGAGTCTACAGTCGCTTCCTAAGTATAATAAATTGTGTTTCCATTATTAGTGTGACTGTCTGTTAGTCTTCATTACCTCGGTGAGTAATTAAGTTTTGCTTGCGCTGCAGCTACTGTGTTTAAGCAGCAAAAACTGAAAACTCCCTTTAATAAACCACTTGATCAAAACGCTGCAAAAGGAAACCAGGAAAGTACGACCGCAGCTCTGATGGTGCAGCATTCGTCCTGCTTTCGCTGTAGCTCAGCTGTTTTCTGTGCAGGAAACTATTTAGGTTAACAAGGCGACGTAAGATCACAATGACTCGTCAGAAGATTGAAATAATTAATGAAGTTACCGCCGCCGTGCCACAAATCGCACGCAGCCCCCCGGGGGCGCCGCTATCGATCCGGCTGCCGTGTGACGCTACAGATGTTCAATAAAGTAAAGGAAAAGAAGCCGACGTTTTGCATTTGTGCGAGACGGAGTCTGGAAGCAGATTCGTGTGTGATGTTTAACGCCGTGATGAGATTTGGAAGCCAGGAGGTGGAGCTCAGATCCGGTGGGCTTCAACCCAGTTTGACCCCTCAGTACACTCTGCATTTTGAATAGTTTGGAGCCTAAACACAGTTGTTTTGCCCCGACAAGAGCTGACATCCGACTCTGTAAAGATCATTAACATGACGATAATGACAGTTGCCCAATGTAGAGTTTTTCTTTCATTTTAGGTGAGACAGTCTGCTTAATTAGATCATTTAACCGGATGTGTCCAAATACTTTCATGTCTCTTAGAAAATCTCTAAAGATGACATTATATCTTGTATTAAACCTACTGCAACTGTTTTTTCATCTACTTGGTGGCATCAAAAAACAAGTTGCAAACATAAAACTGAACATTGTCACTATTATTGTGTAACTATACAGGATTTACTTTCCTTTTAGCTCTGCTTTTGCTCTCAGCCAGCTCATGTATAAATGAAATCTACTCTTTTAGCAACTAGATAAGTTTGTTCAGAAGCTACAGTAGTTGGGTTTGGGTCACTTTGTGGAACATGTGTAGCTTTTTTTGTTCCTGAAACAAGTTGCTTGCTGCAGCTGGAACTGACAGTAGGAAGAGTAACGAAACAGCATTTAATTACAAAATAGTCATAGCCCAGGATCTGCCCGTAGCTTGTTAGCTAACTAGCTAGTTTGCCGATTCTCAGGCTCTGCTAGGAACAGAAAAAAAATGGCTGCCATGGGCAATGGCTGCAAAAGTGAATATGCTACAGTGGAACACTGAGAGGCATTAATCAGCAGCAGAACTGGGGTCCACATCCCAAGCTGGACCATTTTTAACTTTTGTTTTAACTTGCCATTTAGTCTAGTCAGTTTTCACTAGTTGTTGGGTTATATTTTGGCACCAAATTCCATCCATCCATCATCTATACACTGCTTTGTCCTCACTAGGGTCGTGGGGGGGCTGGAGTCTATCCCAGCCAACTTAGGGCGAAGGCAGGGGACACCCTGGACAGGTCACCAGTCTGGTTGTCTGATGTGTCACATACAAACATAATCCTGCAGAAAATACATTGCCTTCAAAATGAAACTGATAATCCAGTGCTATTGTATAGGAGGGCACTTCTTTGGATACAGGGTTGGGGAACATCTGTAGAATAGGTAAAACATGTGATAAGCACTTTCTCCTGTAAACCATCTCAGAAAACAATAGCCTCCATGATCACCGGGCCTCAGCAAAGCCTTGATTCATCTTATCAAATGTTCCTTGTTGTGATTTCCACTCACAACAGGAGTCAACAGGAGCAAAGTTTATTTCGCCCCATGACCAACACCGCGCCATCGACTCCCAGGTCCCATCGCTCCTGGACAACCATTGTGCATTATTGCGGGGTTCACAAGTTCACGGGAACACAAGTTCAATGGTTGCCGCAGGGTCTTGGCTCTGGGGAAAAGCGCAATTTACAACGAACGCTGATGTAACAGGTGGAACATATTAAATCAGGCTCCATGCGGTGATGCGGTTTCGGGAGCTAAGACGGCGAATTAACCCTCTAGCACAGATATAGACCCGCACAGAAAACTAATATAGACCAACAAACGTGTTATGACCGCACACAAACACACACACAGACAAATATATGTGCAAGATATGAACGTATTGCATTCGATAAATCTCCCACTGCCCAGCAACAAGGGAACCAAACACTGTTTCTGTCTCTTTTTTTTTTTTTTTAGCTTGTTACTGCGTTGCAATTTACCTGTGTGCAGTTTCTCTGTAGTGGGCAGAGGGTGCAGTCATATATCACTGAGTTAGCATTGTGAAAGTTCATGGCTGTGTTTGCTGTGTTATTGTAGTAATAAATGTGACGGAGTGGGTGCCTTAGAAAGTTACATTTTGCCCTGATCCAAGGTTGCATAGTCATTTTAAATATAATGAAAAGTGAGGAAAGTCTAACCTTGACAATGAGAGTCCGGGAGAATCAAAGATGAAAGAAGCAGTTTTATGGTGTTAGTCTTTAAAGGAAAGAGTGATAGGGTACTATGTGAGTAGTCTGCAACTGAAAAAAAGGTTTTGAAGGGGGGAAAGAAATATTAGGACAATAACAATCATCTCTTTTTGTGTCTTAATCTACATCCACAGCAGGACTTCTATGAGTTTTGTAGTGCCTTGTGTTGATATTTATGCAGATGTTATATTACCATGAGAACATTTTATTTTATTTTTTTTTAATCCCAAATGTTTTCTTCTTCCACCTTTGCAGGAATCATCAGGACTGCCTTAGCCAACATGGACCGGGAAGCCAGAGAACACTACACTGTTGTCATCCAAGCCAAAGACATGGCAGGCCAGGTTGGAGGCCTCTCTGGTTCCACCACCATCAACATCACGCTGACAGACGTCAACGACAACCCGCCCACGTTTCCTCAGAGTACGTATGGCACACGCCTGAAGATGAACAGAACAGATTCACAGATGGGACATTTCAAAAGTGTTGTTAACTGGGCAGAACTATTAGCGAAAAATAATGGTTAAATGTAGGGATTAACCGATTATCAGCCTGGGCAATTACTGAGGCTGACATTTGGCATTTTTTCAGTTTTTGATGTTGTTATTTCTACTGACGGATTGTCTGCTAATAATTCAAATGGGCTACTTTGGCTCTGATGCAGCTGGCTCTCTCTCTCGCTCTTTGTAATTTTTATCTGATTGGCTACATGTCATGAGAAAAAGCCAATCAATGAAAGCTATTGTTTACGGACAGGGACAGAGGAGCACATTTGCAAAGTGGAGCAGCTCCGGTGAATTAGCATAGCTGTGTTTGGAAGATGAGGTTGCTGAAGTTGTTATTAACATCATCATCCTTCGCAAGCACGCTTAGTTTCCCTGGTACACTCAAAACACAAGAATAATTCACTTGGTGGTATCAGTGTAACTTAATTTGCTGACAGTGCTAGGCTAGGCTATCCCCTAAAGGTTTACTGGTCCTCTTAGCCTGCAGCTAATGTGTAGTACCTGTAAATCTTCCTAAACAAGAAGTGTCAAACAAATCCAGCCATTACCTACTTTCACTTTGGCTAATGCTATGCTAATGTCTAGCAGCTAAGTCAGGAGGAGGCCACAGATTTCCCTAAAACAGTGTCTTGGAAGCAATAGCTAACAGAGCTTTACAATATAGGTCTTAGTGGGCAATAAAAGTGATAGAACAATGAAATATTAACAAAACAGAAGAACATCAGACAGAATAGGAGGAAACAAACTGTTCAGTCTCAATCAATGGATCTCACAGAAAACAGTAAAATTGCTTTTGTTGCTAGCGTATTTGCTATCACATGCTGTTAATATGTACCATTAGTGTTGCAATTATCGGTCATTCTGGATACCGATATCGGCCCTGAAAACACCCAGTCAATTCCTAGCTAAATGAATAAATATGAGGTTTAAAAAATGAGACTCATCTAAAAATAGATGAAGGTTTGTGCTGGAATAAAATGTAGGAAACTGGGGGACAGCACACTGTATTTGTCAGCAGTGTGTAATTCGTTGCCCTCGGGAAATTACTGCCTTTTGGCATCTTTTATAGTTAATTAGCCAGAAGGCTAATGTAGCTAAATAACCAATGGCGAAGTTAAAGGGTTTCCTCTACTAACCTGAATATGTAAAGCTTCTGTGGCCAAACTGTCTGCTCTCAGACATCATTGACCTTGAGCAGAGGACTTCCACGATGGCTGCTTTAGGCATTCGCCAAAAGGCATTTGTAAGAAGAATTCTGTGCTGTAGTTGTAAAAATGGGGGGAAAAAAGCCGGTATTATTGAAACCATTCACACAGCAGATCAGAAGTCCTCCTTATGTTTGCACATTAAAGACAGGAGGATTATTCTTTACGGCATATTCTCCTTTTGGTGTCGGAGAAAACACAACATTTCAGCGTTGCTTTAATTCTAATGGATTATTAACGCCTCCCCTGTTACTGTACATCTATTTAGCACCTCTCCCGGTGATGTAATATGCTTATTCTGAGCCTCTGTATTCTAATATTACAGCTGAATTTTCCAAACTAGCTGAATTAGATGAGCATTCATTACAGCCCTCTGTTTAGCAGTCTGAATTCTCCCCCATTTTAATGATAAATTTAAGCAATGATAAAGTTGTGCTTCTTTGTCTTTGTAAGTGCCTCATCAAGAATAATTCCCCTCGGCTCTGAGTTTTTCATTTGCGCTGCGGTGAAAAAAAACTGTTTCAGAACCATCAACATTTTCTGAATAATCATCTGCCTCGGAGTTTGATCTGCTCCACTGCGGCACTATCGGCCTCGGTTTAGCATTTAACATCAACCGAAGCACTGCGGAGTATTTTTAATGACATTCCCTCAGGAACAAAAAAAAAAAAAAAAAATGGTGACAGAATCAAATTGCTTAGCTAAGCCCTTTTCGGGAGAACGTTCAGACGTTGATGCGGGGCAGGGGGAAAAGGTCGGTAATGTGTTTAAAACAGTTTTTTTTTTCCTCTTCCTGTCTCTAAATGGGTACACATCCATGTTCACTCGCAGAAAATTACCAGCTGTACGTCCCTGAATCAGCTCAAGTGGGGAAGCCAGTCGGGAAGATCAAAGCCAATGATGAGGACCTTGGCATCAATGCGGATATCAAGTACAGCATCATTAACTCGGAGGGGGCCAACATGTTTTCCATATCCACGGACAGAGACACAAGAGAGGGAATCATCAGCCTCAAAAAGGTAAGCACATCCCCACTTCAGCGCTTTCTTTTGAGGCAAACAGTGTCCATAATTAGTTTTTTTGGAGACAGACTTGAAGGTATAGGTGTTGACCTCTAGCCGTGCTGGAGACCTTTGCTTCCACGATAAGCCCGTCATATTCTCCCAGCATACAGGGCCGATGACAAATGACCCCTTTCCTCGGAGAGTGATAACAATTCAAGGAAGTAATACACCTTAAAGAAGCAGCAAAGCTTCAATAATTTGTCTAACTGACACTGATGGTGCCGCGAAGTAATTACAACCCCTCATAGCAAATAAGTGCATTTGTTTAACATTCACTTTTTGTCGATGCGACTACCTTGTACGTTCTAATCTCGTGGCGCCTTTTTCCCTTCCAACAGCCTCTGAATTACGAGAGGAAGAAGGCCTACACGCTCCACATCGAGGGCATGAACACGCATGTGGATCCCCGTTTTTCCTACCTTGGTTCTTTCAAAGACACTGCCACCCTTAAAATCACGGTCGGGGACGTGGACGAAGCGCCCGTCTTTTCTATGGATTACTATATCATGGATGTTTATGAAAACGCGCCGAGCGGCACGGAGGTGGGCACCGTAACGGCTCGAGATCCCGACGGCAGGAACAGCCCCGTCAGGTAAGATGTTCTGTGCATTTGCGTGTTCAATCTGCAGAAGTGACTACAGATATCCAGGAGAGGAGCGGCTCTGTGGGCATTTACATGCAACTGGTGTGCGGCATTGGTTAGAGTTGGAAATCGACAGGTTTATTTTCTTGCTATTAGGAGGAAGAAGAGGTTGCTAATGTTAAGAGGCTTATTTTGAAGCTTGACGCTCTTTCAGCTGACTGGCAGCCAATGGAACTCTGTCACTCTGTCAACTAACTGGCTCCCAATAATGTATTTTTGTTTGTTTGTTTTTTGTTTTTTTTTAGAAACATACCAATTCTTGCCAGTTGGATCTCTAAAAAATCCTGAAACGCCTGGTGACCATGTCTGTTTGGATTAGCCTAGCTGATAAAACATGTGTTTGTCATGCAAGAATTAGCATGAGGGGGGCATTCTGGTTTACCAACAACAAATTACCTCACCAACGGGTCTGAGGTGTTTTTGGCTTTGCACATTGATGAGGTTCAAGCAAGCGAGTGTTGTTTCTGCCTCCAAATTCTGCATGTCATTCATGATATAATACTAAGGCTTAACTCTGAGAACTTGGATGTTGTCGATCATGCAAACAACAGTATTAACATTCTGAAAGGCAGCATCAAGTCCTGCACCTCAATGAAAACAGCACCACCGTGTCTAGAAATAAAAAGAATGCAAAAATATCTTCTGAGCTGCGTATCAACATTATAATGCCATAAATCGTAAAAACAAACAAAACAAAGTTGAATGTCTTTCATTGTTTGCTGTATTTTACTATTTACATTCTATATTTGTTTCCTTATTTATCTCCTGTCTGCTCCGTGTAAACACAGCCTGCAGTTGATCCCAGTCCAGCCCCAAGTCTTTGAATTTTTGTCACAGGAGTGTTTGTTGCATCTGAGTCAGACACGAGTTCTCAGTTTCCATGAGGAACTGACTTTTACAAAATCCGGTTCCTGCAAAGGGTTTAACCCTGTCGACATGATTGCCCGCGATACCAGGCTGGGATTATGACTCCCTTTCAGCACTGCAGCCCGGCATAGCAGCTCCGGTATATGGTGACTTTCTGTGGGAATCCCCGTATGTGAACAAGCGAGTCAGTCATAAAATGAATCAAATCAAATCAGGTTTATTGTCATGTTGCTGTACATACACAGTAGTACAGGCAGGATGAGAGAGCGTTTCTTCAGGATTATTCAAGTTTTGCGGAATGAACGTCTGGGATAAGTCACTAAACGTTCACTCTCGCTGTGTCCTGAAGGGGGCGCTGCGTCCATGCGCGCCGCCATTCATTGAACATGGAGAACCTCTTCAGGTCCTGGTAGGTCTTCAGACACACGATGGTGTGACGATGGTGAAGCCTCAGATGCTGCCCAGAGCTAGCTGTCTGTCTGTCTGCATCTCCTCCAGCTGTATGTCCGTCTGGGATGCTGTCATGGAGCCATGTTTCTGTTAAAGCAAACACACAGCAGTCCCTCCACTCTCTGAGGGTTCCTCTCAGCAAACGTAGCTCGTCCAGCTTGTTGTGGAGGGAGCGGACATTGGAGAGTAGGAGGACGGTCCTGCTGATCTGGAGGGGTTAGCCTTTAGCTTAGCATGGATCCCGGCTCTCCCTCCTCTTTTGTTTACGTTCGTACTGTTTGCGCTTCCCGAAATGTTTATAAGCAATCAAAACTAACTAACTAATTACAAGACTCTGGCTGATGTCTCAGTATATAAGAACTGATAATTAATTGCATATATCCCTTGTAATTATGAAGTTTACCTTTTTCACATCTGAGTAACTTCCATATATTATATATTTAACCATCAACTTGTCCACTTTTGATTGATACCAGATATGTAATGATGTCAAGTCTACTTCAGGATTTATGAATTAATCAAAACCATATCTGATCATGAATTTCAAGCCAAAGATAGCTAGTGTTGAGGGGATTAATGGTATGTATAGAATAACGTGACTGTGATGAAATATCATGATTGTAGACTTAGATTTAAATTTCCCAACAGAGTGGCGCGTCACAGATGATCGGTTCAGTCTGAAAGGTTTGAAAATCTGACAATCCATTCTCCTGTCTCTTACAAACAGTGTAATTTTGGTCATTTTTTAAAGAAAAGATTTCATTTCTTTGAAACCCAGTGCGGTTCAGAAGGTTAACAAATGTACAAACACAACACATTCGGAGTTCAAATGTCATTTGGCACACACCGATCCCGGTTAAGCAGCAGAATAGACTTGATATATTCAACCTAATACATTCAAATTGAGGGCAGAAGTTGGTGCTTTTCGTTTAAGACGTGCGAGAGATCAGAAGAGATACAATTAGCCAGTCTGAGGCTGCTCTTGTTGTGAGTGTTCCAGGGGTTAGCCGGTATCTCTGCCCTGTATGATTGTATTTCTTAGATAAGAACATTTAGTTGGCATTTTGGTCTATACATACGTATGCACATATTTAATAATAACAGCAGTCTTTGTAGGAGCTGATGTTTGGTGTCTTTGCGTGACAATTCTTAGAATAAAGCGAACCACGGTGAGGATTTTTTTCCTCAAGAATTTGCAGCATAATTTCCGGTCGATGCACTGTGTAATGTTCAGCAGCCTCTCGTTTGTTCCTGATGCTTTACATGCCCCAACCGCTTTCACATCCTCTCTGGAAAAAAAAAACTGCAGCACGCACAGTGAGTCTCATTTTTTGGCATCATCAGATAGCCGCTTATTTTGTCTGCGAGCTTGTGAAGTAACCCGAGGCAATACAACTGCTTAGCACATTTGTATGCACTATAAACACACGGTTGTGTACTGTTGGAAAAAGATTGATATTGGCCTTGGGCAGCGGACTAATCTTAGGCTTTTCGCTCCGAACAGGTACTCCGTTTCATGACATTACACTCTCGCAGCCGCAACCGCTCGTATTCATTTGAATTCTCTCCATATCCTGTAAATGATGAAGTGGCTGTAAACGTGAGGCTCCTTCGCGAGATAAACTCTTGCTAATCTGTCAATAAGAAGCAATCCTCGGCTGCTATTACATGTTATAGGATCACAGTTAAAAGCGTTGCCATGGGCTGCAGAGCCGAGGGGTCTTAAAAACAGCACAGACGCCGCTGACTGGGGAAGCACAATGCAGGCCATTGGCGGCTGATGTATTGGTGGCCTGCATGCAAGAAAATTAAATTATTATCATTCGGATAATGAGTTTTGGGCTGATAGTTACGTCTGATGATGTGGGGAGACGAGTTACATCACTCCAAAGTCAGTTCTGAGGAGGGAGTTTTGACATTTTGCCCTTCTTGTTTCTCTCCTCTGCCTTAATAAGAAATGACTCTGGAGAGGATTTCGGTCTTTCAGCCAACAGGAAGTAGAATGTTGTGTAACCTGTTTCTCCTCACTGTGGGCTCATTTTGTAATGTAATATAAAGTCCTGCACCTCTATGGAAACAGAACAACAACAGCTATAAGTAGAGAGAACTTTAATACAATCATAATGCCATAAATCAGAAAAAAGAACGTTTCTTTGATTATATATTTCAGGAAAATTGGGGAAAAAAAATGTCAACGTGCAGCATTTTCCCCCATGTGTCACCTATACTTGGAACAAACAAACAAACAAATAACTCTACATCCATCCATTATAGATACACCTTCATCCTCACTAGGGTCATGGGGGGCTGGAGTCTATCCCAGCTGACTAAGGGCGAAGGCAGGGGACACCCTGGACAGGTCACCAGTCTATCACAGGGCTACACTTAGAGACAGACAACCAAGCACACTCACATTCACACCTACAGACAATTTAGAATCACCAATTAACCTCAACATGTTTTTGGACTGTGTGGGAGGAAGCCGGAGAACCCGGAGAGAACCCACGCTGCACGGGGAGAACATGGAGACTCCACGCAGAAAGATCCCGGATGTCCCCACCGGGAGGCAACCTTCTTGCTGCGAGACAACAGTGCTACCAACTGCACCACCTTGCAGCCCATAACACTACATGCAATAGTTATTTTACGAAATGCATTTTTAATTTGTTTCTATTATCTGCTGTCTGCGATGTGCAAACACAGCCTGCAGTTCAGCCTAGTAGCAGCCCAGCTCAGTCAAAAAAAATCCCAGAATTTTTGTAATGTTGGTGTTGGTTGCAGCTGGACCACCAATAGCTTCACTTTTGCATTGAGTAGGTCAGAATTTTTTGTTTTTTACAGAATTTGGCTACTGCAAACAGTATATTTTTGGCAAATTTAAAGGGATTTTTTATTGGACTGTCACAATTTTATGCTCAGATTTAGTTATTTTTCATATATTCTTAAGATATTATGCCCTTCAAACCCACTGCCGGGTTTTCAAAAGTCAAAACAGTCACAAAAGTAAACTAGGACTCTGGCACATGAACAAATCTGGAGCTCCCAGGAGGCCTGTTTGGTATCCTTTGGTCCAATGGATGCAGTTTAGAAAGTATAGGAAACGTCCTCGACAGTGGAAATATCTCACAGCTGGTATCGGCATCAGTCGAGACGAGTGAAACATCTGAGTTTGTCCAGGTACCGAACTGTCTCAACACCTACAATAAAGCCCCGAGTTAAAACACGGATCAGCCAGTCGCCTCCCACGCTGCTTAAGCAGGCTAAATTTTGTCACAGCGTGTGTTTGAGTGGATATTTGAAGGTATAACGCTCCCATTTGCACATATCGCTGGCAGTCAGTTGGGTAGTATACAAAATCCAAGTAGGCGGAGTGTTTGACTCTAAAGTGCGTGCATATGGCTATTTCCTGGAGGTGGTGAGCAGACGTGTAGGCTCGATATGCATCAAGCTGATTTAAGTACCCGAGGGAACGAAAGGCAAAAGGAACGAGTGAAAGACGCACCTGCAGAAATGCGTCATCCTTTGACCTCTCTGCCTGCTGTCCATCTTCAGGCTTCCAAGTTTCTCTCAACTTAACACCTCAAGTAACAACATCGATTCACTTTTGGTTGTACGGAAGACCTGAAGCGTTT